AAAATAGTTATGTTGCTTTAAAGCTTTTTCTTGTTTTCCCCGTTGTAAAATTGCTCTTGCCCAACAAGTCGCTGATTTAAAACAAGCACTGGGTGCAATTTGACTGCTGCAAGGGGAGATACGAAGTCCTGTATCCCATTTCCAAAGTGTTGCTCAGTCATTCCCATGGGGACTTGAGACTGAGTATAAAAGGTGGTTAATCCTGTCAGCCGATCTTGGAGCAGGTAAAAAACTGATACCACGGGTCCAGTTTCAGGGGCCGACAGGAGCGTTCAGGATGCTCTGAACACGGATTCTTGGCCACATGTTTCACGGGGGATGCAATCCTGTTTAACGAGCTTGAATTAAATGTTTGGTTTCAGACTGAATAGTGTGCTTTTCGCATGTGCTTTTTGCCTTTGCTTTGCCTTGACACGTGTACAAGTGTCAAGTTTCTTTCTTGGAGGTTTTGAAGAACAGGGGGAAAGCATCAAAATGCCAGAAGCCCATGAGTTTCAGGAACTGACCAACCACTGAGAGGATCATCCTGAGAAAACATTTCAACTGAAAACAATAAAAGCTGTGACTATGTTACTTGCAAAACTACCTATAACATTAAAAAATAGGAAATAATACAAATGTCCAACAATATATTATTAAGTTCATTATATTGTATCCTTGAATAATAATGAAAACTATTTAGATAGAGGAAACACATGTAGGACAAACTGAATAAAAGAAGCAATTTTAAAAATTGCCTAGATTCTGATTACAGTTATGTAAACCTTTCAAATGAATATACAATTCGCATTCTTCCCATTTGCACAAATACACAATAATGAAGTAGTACTTAAGATAGTGAAATATAGTCTTTTCTCTTTGCTGTTATTTATATGGTAGATCTCTATAGAATTTAAAATGAGTATAGAAAAATATGAGGTACAGGAAGAAGAGCCAAGTGACGACATGTTTCTGTTAGAATCAGGGTGTTTTTGGTTGCAAGGTACTGAAAATGGTAACTTCATGGGGTTTAAAAAAATAGCGGGTGCCCTGACCAATGTGGGTCAGCTGGTTGGGGGTTGTCCTGCAAAGTGAAATGTCGCTAGGTTGATTCCCGGTCAGAGCACATCCCTGGGTTGCAGGTTCTATCTCTGGTTGGGGTGCACGTGCATTTCTCTCTCTCTCTCTTTCTCCCTCCCTTCTCCTCTCTCTAAAAAAATAAAATCTTTTTTAAAAAATTAAAAGGGATGTTTGGTTCATTTAACTATGAAGTCCACAGGTGTGTAGGATTCAGGTACTGTGTGCTCAGGGCTCTGACTTCACTTCTCTGTGACTCTCTTAGGTCTACCTTTCCCCGTGTGTGGGCTTCCTCCTCAGGCTGGTTTTCCTCATAGTCCCAAGGCAAAGAAGGTGAAGCTACAGGCTCCTCTTTAATATCTTTATTCAATATAAGGGACAGGAGGCACCTCTATTGAATGAATGGGGATATTAGCTTCATTCTAATTGGTTCACTCCTATTCCAGTTGCTAGCCTTGCACTCCAGAGGTTTTGCTTTTGTTTTAAAAAAACTGTGGTAAGGCCCTGGCTGGTGCAGCTCAGTGGATTGAGTGCAGGTCTACGAACCAAAGGATCGCAGTTTGATTCCCAGTCAGGGCACATGCCTGGGGTGCAGGCCAGTTCCCAGCAGGGGACGCATGAGAGGCAACAATACATTGATTCTTCTCTCCCTCTCTCCTTCCCTTCCCCTCTAAAGATAAATAAATAAAATCTGATATTTAAAAAAACTGTGATAAGGATAGGGCTACTCTGATTGGCTGAGACCAACTAAAACCCACCCCTAGATCTGGGGGTAGTTCGGTCTTACCCAGAGTGCATGTGGCTTATATGTTCGGTAGGAAACCTTACTGCCCACTATACCTTGTTATGGGCCAAAGAGTGTCATGGAAAACAGGAATATGAGCTGGCCAGAAGCTGCGAGTTTAATAGTTACATAGTGCTGTGGCTCACCCTTTAAACCTCTCCTTTCCCTTCTGAAATGATCTCAGCCATCACAGGAAGAAATTGCAGATAGATTAGAGATAAAAGTATGAATCAACTCAAAGGACACACTAGAGACTATATTTGTCTGTATTTTTAAAAATAATTTATTTATTTATTTTTAGAGAGAGGGGAAGAGAAGGAGAAACAGGAGGAGAGAACTATCAATGTGTGGTTGCCTCTTAAGCTCCCCCTACTGGGCACATAGCCCACAACCCAGGCATGTGCCCTGACTGGGAATTGAACTGGCAACTGTCTGGTTTGCAGTCCACGCTCAATCCACTGAGCTACGCCAGCCAGGGCTGTCTGTCTGTCTGCACTTTTCGTGTGTGTGTGTGTGTGTGAGTGTAATGTTGGAGTAAAGAATACCTTGTCAAATGATACCCCCCAAAAAAAGCCACAAAAGAAAAAGGCTGATAAATACAAGTACTCCAGAACTTAAAACCTTGGTATGACAAAGACACTATAAACAAAGTTAATAGATAAGTGACATGTAGGAGAAAATCGTTGAAATTTACATCAAAGAATAACCAGAATGTGAGAGAATAATATTCATTTCTTCATTTTTTACTTATTTACTTTTAGAGAGAGGGGAAGGGAGAGTGAAAAACGTCAACGTGTGGTTGCCTCTCGTGCACCCCTCCCCCCATTAGGGACCCGGCCCACAATCCAGGCACCTGCGCTAATTTGTAATCGAACCAGCAATCCTTTGGTTTGCATGCCAGTGCTCTCAATCCACTGAGCCACAGATCACTTCCTCCTTTTGGTAGTAACCTTCCAAGTGTTAGCTGAGCACATGGCAACACAGCCAGAAACTACAACTCCAAGCACCCCTTGGAGCCAGGCGTGGCCAGTGACTAAGTTCTGGCCAGTGGGATCTGAGCAGGAAAGGCTGGGTGCAACATTCTAGTTCCTTTCCTAAAATGAATGAGCCTTTTATTTCCTCTTTTGCCATTTCTCAGGGGCCGAAAGGTGGGGAGGCAACACCCTAGTCCTGTAGCTCCAAACTCTGCACGGTGCCCTGGGGTGCCACCACGAACTCGTAGGGTTGCTCTGGAATTTCTTAAATTTTGAGGAAACAAAGCAAAATTACTGTTGAACATGAAATGCTAGCTTGGACTGAGAAAGCAAGTGCCTGTAGCACATCTACATGGAGCAGGAAATGAGAATGGTGGTTTCCAACCTGATTTGAAAGTTTGATCAATTATGCAGTGTGCAAAGGACACATTGTTAGGACATGGCACTTGTGAACTTGCCTGAAGCTAATTACTTAATAGATGGGATTGTTAGATACTTCTTTTAGCTAGGAGCTCTGGGAAAAACTTGTCACTTGAGGGTGACACAGTGAAACTGTTTCACTGTGAACAGAGAAAGTCTGAGAAGCTCTGCCTAGTGGTGGAGTGAGTGACAAGACAGGAAGAATCTGGGTTTGTGTGATCTCGTGGACTTCTTGGAGCAGAGCTGCCCACCACCCCTGGACTTTGCACCTACTTTTGGACTATTGCACATGAAAGAAACTTCTTTCCCATCAAAGCCACTGCATTTTGGGTCTGTCTGTTCTAACAGTGCGGCAGACAGTTGGGGGTGTCCAGGGAAGGTCTCCCCAAAGCCCACTGTGGAGGTACCTGCAGACAGTGCCTGTACATGCTGAGGGCTTCCTGAGTCTCTTTTACAAGGAGAACGTAATATTGTATCACTTTCACAAAATTTTCAAAAGATTTTATTTATCTTTAGAGGGGAAGGGAAGGAGAGAGGGGGAGAATATCAATGTATGGTTGCCTCTCATGGGTTCCCTGCCAGGAACTGGCCTGCAACCCAGGCATGTGCCCTGACTGGGAATAAAACCGCGATCCTCCGGTTCGAAGGCCTGCACTCAATCCACTGAGCTACACCAGCCAAGGCTCAAATTTTAAAAAATGAAAGAAAGTCAACCCAGCACAATGTGACATAGGTGATCAAACCAAGACTTGGTCAGCCTCAAGTGAAACCATCCAGAAACATATAAATAGGAGTAAAAATAAAGTTCTGCATTATAAGAAAAAAAAATCTAACTCAAAACACTTAATCTCCAGCTCAGAATTGACCACCGGGGTGAAGGGTGAGCTGGAGACAAGGACGAATCCAGCTCAGTCGGGATGTGATGAGTCTCCATGACCAGTCTTCCCTGATGCGATCACATCTATTGTTTTTTTTTCCAACTCTGTGTCTACAAGTCCATAAAGGCCTTGCACACAACGTATCAGAAGGTGCCCAGCTCGGTAAGTTTTTTAAAAAGGAAAAACCTCTGGGGGCAGGCAGCAAAGCCAGCCGGGAAAAGACGCGTTTCAGGCCAGTGTCTGGAGATCAGACATTGCCCCTCAAAGGGAGGGCAGACCTGGCTCAGTGAGACAGGTTTTAAGAGGTACAAGAATAGATACCAGTCTATCCAGCGGCCTCAGAGGCGTTCAGAGCAGAGAAACACGCCCCAGGGGCCTTTTCAGGGCTATGTTTGGAAGCAGCTCTTGTCCCCCAGGTTCAACCATCATGAAACAGTTTTCCTTCTTATCCTCCAGATTTGTCGTCAGGCAATTGTCACTGCTCCCAGGGGCAAAATGTTCAGAGCTGTTCCAAGACAGCAGGAGCAAAGATTCCAACGGTGGGGCTGGCAGAAAGCAAAGCAAAATGTTCAGCACGAAGGCACAGCGGGTGCGTGCCCTGGACTGCCCGGCCCGCTCGGCTCTGCCGGGGCCGCAGGGCGACTCAGGCGGCTGCCCGGCTCCGGCTCCCGGCCCGCCCGCAGACGCAGGCCCATCTTTTCCTCGGCTATCTGGCAACCGCGCTCTGAAGTCCCACCTTCCCGCGTCAGGCTGCATAGCAGCCCGGAGGGCCCGAGTCACGCAACTCCGATCGCCCCAGTAGGAGCTGATCGGGAACCGCACAGACCACCGAGTCCAAGGCCTCCGCACTTCCACCGGAAGCCGGTGCGTGTGACGTCACGAACACGACGGAAGTCGGGGGCGCGCCCAGGAAGCGCCAGTGGGGCGCGCCGGGCTGGTGGTCGCCCTTCGAGGTAAGGCTTCCTGCGCCAGGCGCTCAGGTACCCGGGCAGGCCTGGAACCGTCTGTCTGTCTGTCCAGCTGCCCCGCGCACTGGTCTATGTGGGGCCGCAGCCTTCTTCAACCCCAAGTACCCCTCCAGCCTCCTGAGCCCCGCCCCCCCACCTCAGGTCCCGGGCCCCGAGGGAAGGTCCTTACCCGGCCCACCTGCTGGGATCCTAGGCTGGAGAAGAACAGCTTCGGGGAGACCCTTCTGTTGGGTCCCCGGCGCCGACACCTGGCTCCCAGCTTATTTTTTCCCCCCAGTTAGCTTTTTCTCCGGAAGTCTTATAACCCCATTCGCCCTGCGGGGTCTCGCATCCCCCGAGTTTCCAATTCTCCTCTGTGTATTCCTCCCCTGACTCCTTTATATCACCAGTTGTCTTATGCGATGGCTGAATTGATCTGTCTTTGCAGCCAGATTCAGCCGCCTGGAGGAGCCATGTCTCCTGCAGCCTTGGGTGTCCCCTCTTGGTCCAGGCGCCTGCCTCTGCGCAAGAGGAGATGCCGTTGGAATTCCCTGTGAATGCTGCCAGGAGGAACGTCAGAGCCACCCGCCGAAAATTATTCGAAAAAGAGATATGTAGGCTGGGGACCCGAGTCACTGTGAGGATTGCTGCTGTTCATTTTCTCTGTCTCGCCCCGTGAATAGTTCCTAGTTCGGTCATCGTAATTGGAAGCCAGAAACATATTTACTGAGGCCAAAAATCATCATCTCCAGTTTCTTAATACAGGCCCGTGTACCTACGTCCTTTCACAGACAGAATGCCTGTCCTGGGCCCTCCACCGCCTGTAGGGGATGCTTGTTCCCATGGCATTGCCTGCACATTCTTTAGGCTACGTCTGTGTCAACATCTGTATGGATATTTGTATATATTTAAGGAAGTAGGAGAATGATTTGTTGCTGAGGGAGAGAAGGTGGATGCCTTTTGCATATTTTCCCCACTTTAGTTTGGATTTTGCAGATAGGAGATTCCCCAAAGCGGGCCACACTGGTTTAACCAGGGAACTTTTGCAGGGGAGAGAGCTCAGGACCTGCTTGGAGGCCTGATGGAAGAGGCAGTGTGCTTACAGGCTGGCGAATTTTGCTTTGGGAATCGTTTAGGGAGCTGATGTCTGAGAATATGAGCCATGGAATGAATCCCTCAGTGTAGTCACATTCTTTCTGTTCCTTCGCAGCCCCAGGATGGACTTCCTGGTTCTCTTCCTGTTCTACTTGGCTGTAGTGCTGGTTGGTGGTGCCATTATCTGTGTCTGCTCCACAACCCATTACCTGAAAGGCCTGGTCAGGGGAGGCACACAGGTAACAGTGCTGCTTGGAGACCACTGTTCAGAAGGCTCACCGGTATTCCTGATGGAACAAACAAGAGATGCCTTTTTTATGTGTGTGTTCGCTTGTTCTTTCATTTGTGGCACTTGTCATGTATTGCAAAGTCTTAGTGTGTTTTTTCCTTATTGTTTAAAGTAATCTTGTATTGATGCTTTGAGAGAAGGTAGCATTTTTTTATCATTAAAACTTTTATTTATTTTTAGAGAGAGGGGAAGGGAGGGAAAAAGAGGGAGAGAAACATCAGTGTGTGGTTGCCTCTCAAAACCCCCCTACTGGGGACCTGGAATCCAACTGGGGACTGTTTGGTTCCCAGGTCGGTGTTCAATCCACTGAGCCACATCAGCCAGGGCGGAAGGTAGTATTCTTAAGGTTGGGTAGTTTTCTCTGGATTTGATGCCTTTAATTGGGCATGGATTTGAGCAGTGTCTGCTTAGAGGGGCCTGATGGGTGAAACTGGGGCACACAGGAGCAGAAAGCTGAGCATTGGGCTGCCCCCACTCCTTCAAGGATCAAAGGGAGCAAAACTGGGGTGAGCAGTCCTTGGGAAGAGCTTGATTTGGGAGGGGCCTGGCCTAATGGCCAGTGATCTGGACTCTAGAACGTAGGATGGAACCCAGGTCAGGGAAAGGAGCGGCATTCACCTTAGCATTACCTGATCCATCTGCTTTGCTCCCCTCCCTTGGCTTGAAGACCTTGACATGGCACCTTCTTGGAGGTCGGGGCGGAAAGTGGAGGAGTCGGCTTCAGAGGAAGGCCAGCTGAGGGAAGCCATCCTCATTACGCTCTTAAACCTCTTCCCTGCGCATATGCAGGGGCACAATATCACCAGTATTGTCAGCTGAACATAAAGCATCTAATTTGGCGGGAGCTGGGGGGAAGTGGGGAGAATGAAAAATGAAACTGAATGTTCCTTTTTTTTTCGTTTTAGATATTTTCCTATGTAATTCCAGAATGCCTTCAGAGAGCGATGCTAAGTTTGCTCCATTACCTCTTTCACACACGGTATTTATATTTGAGTTTAGATAGTATCTTCCTTTCTCTTTTGATTGTTAATTGTGGCTATTCTGTAGCTCCAGGAAGCTCCTTGTAAGGTTTCCAGGGTGACACGGAGAGGACTGCTGCCGAGGACGGGGAGGCCTGGGCTCAGAACCTGTGCTCGGAGATAGTCTGCCTTTTCTCTCTAGGGGCGGGACACGTCCGCTTTCAAACAAGTATTTGAAGAGTGAGAAAATACTGATATGCATTTCCATAAAAAGAAGTATAGTCAGATATTGAGAACTCAGTTCCCAAGATAGCTGATAATAATAGATAACATTTATTGAGAACGTACCGTGTTTTAGGCACTATGCCAAATGTTTCACATAGTTTCTCCTGTAATTCTTACTGTCATCTCAAGCCCAAAGGCAGTAGTTGGCCCTCAGTTAACTTTCCTTGGTGTAGCCTGATTTCATCCTGGAGAAGTCCCCAAGAACAAGCCGTGTGCCTATTTCTTTTCAGAAACTACATCTTCATCATCCTGCACCTCATCTTGCAAGGGATGGTTTATACGGAATACACCTGGGAAATATTTGCCTACTGCCGAGACCTGGACTTCTCCTTGTGTCTCCTCCTGCTGCCCTACGTGCTGCTCATTGTAAACCTGACGTTTTTTGCCCTAAGTTCTGTGACCGATCCTGGTACGTGGAGGCTCTAGGTAGAGCCAGCTCAGCTGTCAGTCTTACTAATGGTGCTGCAAACATAGTGATCCTGCGAAGGACTTTGCAAAAGATTTGCTGTTTAGCGTTTGCATAATCTTTTCATTTTCAGTGTATTCTAATTTTATTTTTCCTGCCTTCTTTGACCCATGGGTCATTTAGAGCCTTTGAAAATTTTTTAGTTAATTTTCTTTTTTAAGATTTTTTAATTTATTTATCTTTAGAGGGGAAGGGACGGAGAGAGGGAGAGAAACATCAATGTACGGTCCCCTTTTGTGCGTCCCCTGCTGGGAACTGGCCTGCAGGGAACCAGCCTGCAACCCAGGCATGTACCCGAACTGGGAATCGAACCGCGATTGTCTGGTTCGCAGGCCTGCGCTCAATCCACTGAGCTACACCAGCCAGGGCTAATTTTCTATTTTTATTTATTTTATTTTTTGTCCTCACTGGAGGACATGCTTCTTGATCTTTAGAGATGGGAAGGGAGAGAGAGAAACATCAATCAATTGCCTCCTGTGTGCACTCTGACCAGGACTGAACCTGTATTGTGGGCATGTGCCCTGACGAGTCAAACCCGTAACCTCTCAGTTTACAGGATGACGCTCTACCTAATTGAGCCACACTGGCTAGGGCTAGTTTAATTGTTTATACTTCCACTTAATTGTGTTTTATGGAAAGTTTATGTTCTGAAGGATAGTGTTTTTTAAAGATTTTATTTATTTTAGAAAGAGGGGAAGGCAGGGAGAAAAAGAGGGAGAGAAACATTGTGTAGTTGCCTCTCTCATACCCCCCGCTGGGGACCTGGCCCACAACCCAGCATGTGCCCTGACTGAGAATCGAACGGGCGACCCTTTGGTTCACAGGCCAGCGCTCAATCCACTGAGCCACAGAGGCCAGGTCTGAAGGATAGTATTTCTTTTGAAAATTTTATTGATATTTGCACTATGCCTGGGCATGTAGTTTTTGTAAATGGCCCATGTTCTTGGATATACAGCACCATATAAGTTCATTACATCGTTTATTAATTATGTTAATATCTTTTATAGTCGTACTAATTCTTCTGTTGAGAGGTGTTCTCATTCTGATAGTAGACTTGAGAGATTTCTTTTTGTATGATTTTGCTTGACATATTTTGAACCTAGTGTTTGTGTATGTGTGCGTGTGTATTAGTTATACACATGTATAATTCTTAGTACATGCATTAAGTTTAGAATTAGTATCATCTCTGCCCTTGAAACTTTTTTCAAAATATAATGAACTTCTGTCACTGGTAATTGCTTTCAAGTCTCTTTTGCCTAATATTAATATTATTATACTAAAAAAAGAAAAGCCCTGGCTGGCATAGCTCAGTGGATTGAGCATGGGCTGCAAACCAAAGGGTCGCAGGTTCGATTCCCAGTCAGGGTACATGTCTGGGTTGCGGCCCAGGTCCCCACTGGGGGCCATGTGAGAGGCAACCACACACTGATGTTTCTCTCTCTCTCTCTCTCCCTTCCCTTCTCTAAAAATAAATAAATAAAATCTTTAAAAAATTATTATACTGTTTTTACTTTGATTGATTGATATTTGCTTGTTTCTCCCCCATTCTTGTGATTTTAACCTTTCCTGTTCTTGAAGTGTTAAATGTCCACCAACTGATGAATAGTGAAATAGAATGTGGTATGCCTATTCAGTGGACTATTATTTAGCAATAAGAAGGAATGAAGTACTTATATACCTGGTACCACACAGATGAACCTGGAAAATAGTATGTTAGTGAAAAGCCAGATACCAACGACCACATACTGTGTGATTCTGTTTATATAGAGTGTCCAGACAAGGCACATCCATGCAGACAGATGTATTGATTTTGGCCACCGGAGGGTAGGGCGTAGAGAGAAGTGGGCGCCGACTGTGGCCGGACTTCTTTTTTTTGCAGTGATGAGAGTGTTCTAAATTGTGGCCACGAGTCACAGCTCTGCGATGTGCTAAAAACCACCAAATGGTGTGGTTTAAGTGCGCGAATTGGTTCTTTGAATTGCATTTCATTAAAGCTGTGAAAAATTATAACGTGAATTAAAACATTCAATATAGCAATGTTTAATTGTGCCATGTCGGGACAGATTTTGTGAATATTCTGTGTTACCTTTGTGCTTACTTTTTTCAGGTACCATAACAAAAGCAAATGAATCATTACTTCTTCAAGTTTATGAATTTGATGAGGTCATGTTTCCAAAGAATGTGAGGTGCTCTACTTGTGACTTACGGAAGCCAGCACGGTCCAAGCACTGCAGTAAGTGTGGCCCCGGCTGCCCCAGCTTCACCTTCCCACGGCAGACAGTGAACGTCACCTGTGAGGGCTGTTACAGGTGTGGAAAGTGGGGCCACGTGACTCCCAGACACAGGCAGCCCCTGCTGGTGGCGGCCTGGTAGTGGTCTCTTTCACATGACTGGAGGTGAGGTCTCGTGCTCTTGCCTAGTGGGCGACCATCCGTGCTGGGCAGGACAGCCATCCTTGGCCGTGTGGCTAGCATCCTGCCCAAGGGGTTTTTCTGCAGGACGTGGTGCTTGCAGATCCCCATCGGGCAGAGCCTGTTCTGGGGAGTTACCAGCATGCTAGACGAGTGCTGTCCAACAAAAATTGAATCTGGGCCACATATACGTGATTTTAAATTTTCTAGTAGCTACATTACAAAAGTAAAAAGAAATAGGTGAAATTAATTTTAATCATGTAATTTATTCAGTTTAACATATCGAAAATACTATTTTTCCCCAGCTGATGTGGCTCACTGGATTGAGCGCACCAGCCTGTGAAGCCAAGGGTTGCCGGTGCAATTCCCTGTCAGGGCACATGCCCTGGTTTTGGGCCAGGTGCCCAGTAGAGGACGTGCAAGAAACAACCACACATTGGTGTTTCTCTCTCTCCCTTTGTTCTGCTCTCTGAAAATAAATTAATGAAATCTTTTAAAATAGTATTTTAACATGTAATCAATATTTTAAAAAGCATTTATGGGGTAGTTTATATTCTTGTTTTTGTACTGAGTTTTTGGTGTGTGTTCAGAGAGACGTTTCAGCACCTCTTATGCAGACGCCAAATTTTCATTGGAAATCCAGGCTCTGTATTTAGTTATCATAAAGTTTGCCATTGGAAGAGCAGACTCACTTACCTGAGCTATTCCAGTTTTAACAGTTCTTCATCATCCAAGCCAGTACCAAAGTGTCATTTTCTATAATATCCACATCTGCATTGACATAATGGTTTATCTTTATCAGAAGAATTGATTTGCCTTTAGAGCAGAAGCATTTATTTGAAACTGCCTAAGTTAAGTAAATTCACTAACTCCTTTTATCTCAAAATTATTCACATTGAACTCTGCAGGAGTATTGCACAAATTGAAAAACAACTGTAAATTTATGAACACCAGCGAAGCATTCTCTCAAGTGTTTCTCGTAGCCATATATCAAGTGCCCACTAGCCACAGGAGGCTGGGCCGGTGGCTGCTGTATTGGACACTGCAGTCCTGAAAGCGTGGTGACAGCAGCTGCCGTTTCCCCGGCTCATACAGCCAACAACCCGTTTGTGGGAGAGTCCACAGGTGTGCACGGTCTCTTTGTCTCGTCAAGCACCAACTCGGCTGTGCGGCTTTCTGTTGCTGTGCAGGTGTGTGTAACCGGTGCGTGCACCGTTTTGACCATCACTGTGTTTGGGTGAACAACTGCATTGGGGCCTGGAATGCCAGGTACTTCCTCACCTACCTCCTGACGCTGACCGCATCAGCGGCTGCCATGGCCATTGTGAGCACCATGTTTCTGGTCCAGGTGGTGGTGTTGTCTGACTTGTACCTGGAGACTTACATCGACGACCTTGGATACTCCCAAGTTATTGACATCTTCCTTCTTGTTCAGGTAATTATGTTGTGGGCTGTAAGCTTTTAACTTCTGGTTTCAAAATTGGAAAAAGCACATTTGTTTGCCCAGTAAAAACATGAAGCCATTCCATTTTAAGAAGTTGATTTGTAGGCCCTGGCTGGGTAGCTCAGTGGGTCAGAGCATCGTCCCCGTACGCCAAGGCCGCGGTTTTGACCCCTTTAGGGCACATACAGGAACCAACCAGTGAATGCGTAAGTGGAGCAACAAATTGGTGTATGTTTATTTCTCTTCCTCCTTCCCTCCCTTCTTTCTCAAATCAATAACAAAGAAATCGATATAAAATCTTTTAAAATTAGTAATTCAACTACCATAAAATTCACCCTTTTGAATGATAAGATTCGTGGTGTTAGTGCATTCCGAGTTGTGTAACTGTCACCACTGATTTCAGAATATTCTGTCACCCAAAGAAGAAACCCATACCTGTGAGCCGTCACTCCCCGTTCCATTCTGTCCCCAGTCATGGTAAACACTAGTCTGCTTTCTGTCTCTGTGGATTTACCTCTTCTGGACACTTGTCAGTGGAATCATGCAGCGTGTGGCCTTTTGGACTGGCTCCTTTCACTGAGCATACTGCTTCGGGTTCACCCGTGTTATAGCATGAACCAGTACTTCATTTCCTGTTACGGCCGAAAAATACTCTGTTGTGTGGATATGCCACATTTTACTCCATCAGTTGTGGGTGTTTGCACTTTGGTTTGTTTTTTTAATAAAGCTGCTATGAACATTTGTGTACAGGTGTTTATGTGGACATAGGTTTTTATTTCTCTTGAGTTACACTTATGAGTAGAACTGCTGGGTCTTATGGTAACTCTATTTGTAATCATTTGAGGAACTGCCAGACTTTTCCAAGGCAGTTGCACCAGCACTGTGTAAAAGATCCAGTTTCTCCACGTCCTCGCCAACTCTTGTTACATTTTATTAGTCCTTCTAGCCTTTACCTCCTTGAACCAGAGTCTACTTTATTTTTAAGCATCACATTTGGATTTTTTTTTTAGTTTGAAACAGTGCCCTCCTTTTTTTTTAATGACATAAGTATTTAATAGTCTAGTCACCCATTGTTATAGAATGTCCCATGTTCCAAATTTGTCTCGTTCCTATTGGTGCCACCTCATCTTTCTCTGTTTCCTGACACTAGTGTAAACTGGAAGTTGGTTCTAGAGCTTCGATTAGAATCAGGTTAAGTTTTTCTTGGCAGAAATGCTTCCTACGTGGAGATACAGGTTTCCTGTTGCATCCTGTCTGGCGGAACCTGGGGTCCAGGAAGCCCGGGCTGGTCTGTTAAGGTGGTGGTCGCCAGCTGTCTGTGTTGGCGAAGTGCATTTTCTCCTTGGCAGTGGGCAGTCTGTGTGTATGGTTTCAGTTTTGTATTTAGGACACTGTTTTGGATAGATTCCAAAAAATATAAATACTGGGTCAAAGATTATCAATATTTATAAGACTTTTGATATTAACATCTATTGTCAGATTGCTTTTAAAACCCACTGCTGGGGTGGGAGGCACCATCCCTAGTTTGATGGGGAAATACGGTGTACCCTTTTAATTTAATTTTTAAATTATTTTTATTTTTTAAAGATTTTATTTATTTTGAGAGAGGGAGAAAGGAGAGAAACATCAATGTGTGGTTGCCTCTTGCGCACCCCCTACTGGGCACCTGGCCTGCATCCCAGTCATGTGCCAAGGCTGGAGTGCCCTTTTTAAAAATTATATTTCTCCTAGCTGGTGCTGCTCAGTGGATTGACCACCCTCTTGGAAACCAAAGGATCCTTGGTTCAATTCCCAATATAGGGCACATACCTGGGTTGCCGGTCAGGGGCCCAGTGGGCAGGGCGTGAGAGGCAACCACACGTTGATGCTTTAGCTAACCTTACTGGGGTAATCATTTCGAGACATACACACACACACATTATATTTTGCATTATTGTCACCTTAAACTTTCACAATGGTTTGTCAATTTATATTTCAAAGCTGGGAAGAAAATTTTAAACATCTTGGAAATGAAGTGAAAACTTACACCCCTCCCTCCCAACACTTTCGCTACCCAGAGGCAACCACATTTGTAGCCTCTGGTGTGCGTATACCAGGCTTTCCTCCTCTGCGTGTGTATTGCCGGATGTGTCCGGAGAGTCGTTTGGCGTTTGCACAGGTAGGGCTGTGCTGGAACCTCGCGTGTTCTCCACGCTGGGCGGCATGTCACCACTGGCTTTTTCGAACTGGCACATAGACATTGGCCTCGTTTGAGTGGCTCCTTATTGTCCCACAGTCGGACTGTCCTGGGTTTGACCCTTCTTCACTTGCATATTTTGGTAGGAAGGACTGTTAAAACCAGTGCCACTGTACAGTGAGTACTCCTGTACCTGTATCTTTGTGGTTTGGTGTTGAAAGAGAGATTGATCTCTTCTGTCCATCTGGACTTGATTTTGCTGAATTAAGATCCACATTTATTTCTGTTTCTTTTTTTTTTTTTAAGATTTTATTTATTTATTTTAGAGAGATGCGGAAAGGGAGGGAGAAAGGGAGGGAGTGAAACGTCAATGTATGGTTATCTCTAGCACACCCCATACTGGGGATATGGCCTGCCACCCGGGCATGTGCCCTGACTGGGAATCAAACCAGCGATGCTTTGGTTCACAGGCTTGCGCTCAATTCACTGAGCTACACCAGCCAGGGCCTCTCTGTTTCTTTTATGAGTAGCTAACTGCCCAACACCGTCTCCGGAGTCCCCCTTCCCTTTTCCTCCAGTGCGCACACTTCGCCCCATATTAAACTCCGTATACACTGTGGTGTCTTTCTGGGCTGTTGATCAGTGCTGTGTATGGTTCTGACCTGTGTTCAGTGGGTCAGGTGTGCACGCAGGTGGGTGAGCAGGGGAGGCAATTCTGACGGTTTTGTGGGACAGAGCAGGGCTGGCGGGTGCTGATCCTTATCTCAGAGCCTAGCTGCCTAATGTGCTGCCTCTTCTTTGTCCCCAGTACCTGTTCCTGACCTTTCCGAGGATTGTCTTCTTGCTGGGCTTTGTCGTGATGCTGAGCTTCCTCTTGGGAGGCTTTCTGTGCTTTGCTCTGTACCTGGCTGCCACCAACCAGACTACAAATGAGTGGTATAGAGGTGACCAGGCCTGGTACCAGCATTGCTCCCAAGTGGCAGGGACCCCATCAGCAGAGCCGCGGGTCTACCGGAACATTTACTCCCACGGGCTTTGGAGCAACCTTGGAGAGATCTTTCTACCTGGTGCTGCACATTGTGAAAAGAAGAGGACATGAGACTGGGAAGAGCGTTACTGCCTTTTAAATACAGTGGACGTTTATTTATGCATATGGGTTCTTTCTAAGCATTGGTATTTGTTTTCTGATCTATATTTATAAATTGGCTTTCAGCGGCTAAGGGAGGGAAGTGAAAAATAGGGTTTACTAAGTGCCTAATAGAAATCTCCCTTGCTCATCCTCTCTTCACTCAGCCGGTTGGAATGGAGCTTCTCTGAAGTCCTGGTGACTTCTCAGAGGTCCCAGATGACCTTGGTCTCCCACGCTAGGCTCAGCTCTGGGACAGAAGGGGCCTAATGACTGCGTCGCCTGGTGTGTCCCCTGGTCTCAGCGACTTGGAGTTGTGCCTAGCTGTGCCTTTTTGATGCCCTTCCCATCTCTCCCAGGGAGAGGCCAGTGTTTTTGTTTTTTGGTGTACTTTTCCCTGCCTCCTTACCCAGCATCCTCCCCCAGGCCTGCTCCAAGTGGGCACGTTTCTGTGCTCCTGGGCTCTGGTCTGCCCTCCACTGACCTCTTGTGGCCACATTCAAATCTTTTTGGCCCTAATTTTTTAAAGGTTTTTATGCATCTATTTTTATAGAGGGGAATGGGAGGAGAAACAAAGGGAGGGAAGTATCAATGTGGTTGCCTCTCCTGCACTTCCAACTGGGGATCTAGTCTGCAGCCTAGGCATGCACCCTGACTGGGAATCGAACCTGTGACTCTGTGGTTCATGGGCCAGCACTAAATTCACTGAGTCACACCAGCCAGGGCTCTCCGACCTATTTTTAAAATTTCAAACTAAGCCTAGTTAATTGGGTGCAGAGAGATGAATGCTGGAAAAGAGATTCACAGAAAGTGCTGGGGGTCTTTAGGATGGAAAAGCCTTTAGGAGCAGGGCACCTACAATTCCGTGGCCCTCCCAGGCCTCTGTGAAGGGGGCCAGGGTATAGGAACTCCGGGGACAGGACTGGGAGTCCGGTAGGGAGGCGTCTTTTGTCATCGCAGCCCCTTGAATTCAGACTAGATACCATCTTTGAGTTGCTTAGGCCCGATCCCGCTACCACTTATACTCACTGGTGGGAAAGCACAGGAAAAACCCACGTGTAGGCCTGGAACTCGGCTAAGGAAGCGGCGGGGTGGGGTCGGGGAGCGCAGGCCCAATGAGCGCTTACTGGTGCGGTAGTTCTCAGGCTGAGCGCTTCGGCCTGTGGAGCGAAGGCGGGCTCGTGACGAGGGGGCGGGGCTTGCCTCTGGGCGTCACGTTGCGGATCCGCGCCCGCGGACTGAGCCGCCAGAGGGCGACCTCCCAGAGCAGGCGCTCGCCACGGACCGTGCTTGACCCCAGCGGGCCGCCGTCGCCGCGCTTGCTTTTTTCCCCGCCGTTCGGCTCCCCGGCGTCGGGCTCTGGCGGCTCGCCGTGGCGCCTCAGTCGCACACCTGGGTTTCCCGCTGGCCGGCGGCGAAGATGGCCCCCTGAGCAGGCCCGAGCGGGGAGCGGCGGGCGGGCGGGCGCCGCGGCCCAGGCCGGGCTCGGCGGGCGGGGCCCGGGTCGCGGCCTCTTTGTCTCCAGGGCGGCGGGTGCGTCCGCTGGGCTCGGGGCGGAAGTCCGGCCGCGCTGCCGGTGCCCCGGGCCGCAGCGGCCGCACCATGAGCGACATCCGCCACTCGCTGCTGCGCCGCGATGCACTGAGCGCCGCCAAGGAAGTGCTGTACCACCTGGACATCTACTTCAGCAGCCAGCTGCAGAGCGCGCCGCTGCCCATCGTGGACAAGGGCCCGGTAGAGCTGCTGGAAGAGTTCGTGTACCAGGTTCCCAAGGAGCGCGGAGCGCAGCCCAAGGTGCGGCGCGCAGAGCGGTCGGCGGGTGACCGCGGCGGAGCAGCACACCCCTGCTCCTCACCCCTGTCTCGGTGACAGGTGCCAGCCAGAGCACAAACGCCCTTCCTTTCCCGGCGCCGTTCTTGCCTTTGGCCTTGCTCCTTCCGCGGTAGCTGAAACCTCTGGAGCCCCGAGCATTGCTTAGTTGTGTGCGTGTTTTGCCGGGTCATTGACAGTCGTGCTCCCATGGTGTTAAAGGAAGAGACTTTAATGGCCTGTTGCAGAGAATCTCAAACCATTGCCGGTCATTCTGGGTCCCCCTCACCCCCGGGATGATGCATAATTAAATATAATGACATTTCCTGGGATAACAGTAGAGAATTATTCCCTGGCACCTGGGCTTTAGTGGGATGAAAAGTTCCCTGGGGAAAGCATATTTTCTGTTTTCTTCCTGTATGAATTAATATGCACGTTGAAACTGAATTTCTCATCACTTCTGGATTTGTTTTATAGAGATTGAATTCACTTCAGGAGCTCCAACTTCTTGAAATCATGTGCAATTATTTCCAGGAGCAAACCAAGGACTCTGTCCGGCAGATTATGTTCTCATCCCTTTTCAGCCCCCAAGGGAACAAAGCCGACGACAGCCGGATGGGCTTGCTGGGAAAACTGGTCTCCATGGCCGTGGCTGTGTGTCGGATCCCCGTGCTGGAGTGTGCGGCCTCCTGGCTCCAGGTACTTCTCTAGAAATAGCCTTGCCCCCCAGGGTCTCTGTGGAGGAGCTTAGTGTCAGGAATTTTCAAGTAATTGGATTTCTTGAGAGGCCTTTGCCAGATGTTATATCCTTGATGTCACCATGTGCTGATACCCCAGACCTACACTCATATACAGGTGATGACCTTTCTCGAGAAAACAGTAGTTTCCAATGGTAAGTTCATTTTAAAAAGTTAAAAAAAAAAGCCCTGGCTGGTGTAGCTCAGTGGATTGAGCGTGGGCCTGGGAACCAAGCAACCACGGTTGGATTCCCAGTCAGGTCACATGCCTGGGTTACAGGCTAGTTCCCAGCGGGGGACACACAAGAGGCAACCATACATTGATGTTTCTATCCCTCTCTCCTTCCCTTCCTCTCTAAAGATAAATAAATAAAATCTTAAAAAAATACTTTATCATTTAAAAAAAAGTTTTAAAAAATGGTACACCTTTAGGACAGGTGAAAAATTATATATTATATATATATATATATTTTTTTTTAGTGGAAGTGACTTTATTTATCCTCACATGAGGATATCTTTTTCATTGCTTTTAGAGAAAGAGGAAATTGGGGAGAGGGAGGGAAAGAAACGTTAATTGGTTGCCTGTACTACATGCCCCGGAGGGGACTGAACTCACAGTCCAGGTATGTGCCCTGGCCAGAAACTGAACCCTCGACCTTTAATCTCGGGGATAATGCTCCAACCAAGTGAGCCACACTGGCCAGGGTGGGAAATCATTTTTATTAGTTGAAAATGATAGATAAGATTTTGAATACAATGAGGCGTGCAACCTCAAATGTAGGATTTTTTTTTAAGGTCATTCCATGTCAGATTGCGGCAGGTTTTCTTGTTTTTTATGCAGTGAGATGAGCCAGCTGGTGAGTGGTTTGGTGTTGTTCCAGGGTGACGTTACCAGGTGGATGGCAGTTGCGACAGACAGGGACACAAACGCTTTCTAGCGTGTTTTTAATTATCAAAGAAAGATATATATCTAGTGTGTTAGATGGTATTTTGGGAGAGTGGTTTTGCTCAAAGTCTTCAAAAGACTGATGATCCACTTTGAGTAATTATTAACTGAACATTTTGATTACTACGATTAGTTATGCTGACAGAGTTTCCCGAGTTCAGTTTCACAGACCTGTTCATTTCCAAGTTCTTGAAACCGTTTGGTTGGGTGGTTTTTTAAAAAATTATTTAAATGTTTTTATTGTAGTCTTATTTATTCTTAACATTTGGCTAGCAAGAAGACATATTTTTTCATCATAGTACACAGATAAATCTCAGCGGATTCTGCCTTAATTCTCAACAGTAGCGTTTCTGGGGCATCTGAACTGATCACGTGTGTTGTGTTTAACTGCGAGATTGTATCACCCATGTCCCTTGACGGCCTGGTGAAGCCAAGTTCAGCATCTTGTAGCTCATTGTATAATTCCCCGTCTCTCTCTTATGCTACTGTGTGCTGGTATTTCAGCACCGTGAGAGCAGATGTGAACGACAGGACAGGGTCTCAGTGGTCCGGGCCAGGGGCTGCCCCGGGGCTGCAGCTTCCTCCAAGGAAAGGTGGAGACGGCCAGTGTGGTGCTGGGGCTGGAGTTCAGCCTGAATGGACAGTCTGGCCTGCTGTCCCCTTGCCGTTTCCCATGGAGGCCGCACTTGGGCCCTGGGTCTGTGGTGTCCCGAGCAGCTGCTGAATGTGGCAGCAGTCACGGATCAGCATCTGAGTGAGGAGGGAGGGAGAAGGCCGGGAAGGCAGGTGATGCAGGGCCTGAGAGCATCAAGGAAACGCAGAGGTGTGCAACCCGTGGCCCACGGGCTGCATTCGGCCCTACACAAAAGTGGAAATTGGCTTAAACTATTATGAGTTTTTTTGTGATTTCATTTCACAATGTATTTAACGTGCAGCTCACGACAATTCTTTCTGTGTGGCCCAGAAACGCCAAAAGGTTGGACACCCCTGCAAGAGGATAGACTGTAAAAGCAGTGGAGAGGGTACTGCTCTAAATCTCGTGATGTTCACAGATGCTCCTAAAGCTCATAGCAGCTGTAATTCTTACCACTGGAGTCTCAACTGCAGGGTTGCAGAACTTGTGAGAAAAGGTCTCTCCTAAGTAAACTTCAAAGCGAAGGTCGGCAGGCATCTTATATAAAGGGCAAGACAGTAAATACTTTAGGCTTTGCGGGTCATGTCACATCTGTCACAACAGTTCAGCTCTGCCCTAACAATGCAGTGACAGCCCTAGATGGCAGGCAAGTGTGTGAGCAGGGCTGATTCAGTAGAACCACGTTCGCAAAGGCGGGTGGCGGGGTGGGCCTGGTCCATGGGCTTGAGTTTGCGGGCCCCTGCGTCAGAGGGAGTGGTGAGTGGCCTTCCCGCCCCTGGAGGGGCTCTGCTGCTGGTGGTCTCCACCAGGTGCACACAGCAGCTCCTTCACTGGCTGGTGCCAGCCATGGTGACCGGGACTGTGGCCCCTTTCCAGCGGACGCCTGTGGTGTACTGCGTGAGGCTGGCCCGGGCCCTCGTGGACGACTACTGCTGCCTGGTGCCGGGCTCTGTGCAGACGCTGAAGCAGATGCTCAGCGCCAGTCCCCGCTTCTGCTGCCAGTTCGTCACTTCTGTCACCGCGCTTTTCGACCTGTCATCAGGTAAGCACTGTGCAGGCTGCTGCCTGTCGGGGAGGCTTTGGCTGATCGCCAGGTTCATTTTCGCTGACGAACGTCCAGCTAATGTCCTGGTGTTTGGGCTCTTTTCTCTCTGAAACGTGTGTTGTATTTTAGGCTCAAAGCCAAAGGGATGGGCCGCCTGGATTTCTGGAACTTGCTGACAGGACGTCTCCTTAGCGATCCCCGGCGGCCGGGTGGAGTGGCCCGAGGGGCAGAGAGCCGGGGTCTGGGATCTGGGAGAGACTCGGTCTCTCGGTTAGACCTGACTTGCTTTTTTTATTCAAAACTTTTAAGCTCCAGGAAGGTTGGAAGAATATTACAACAAACACCCACATAGCTTGCCTAGATTCACCAGTCCATAACATTTGACGTATGTGCCCTTTCTCTCCCTTCTTTCCTTTCTGTCCACACACACTGACAAGTATTTTTTCCTGAACTTTTGAGTTTGTGGCCAATATTAAGTACTTAAGTATGTATTTCCTGAGAACAGATTCCCTTACATCACTGTGATAGCATCGTCACACCTAAGAAATGAAGTATCAAAGAACATTACTTATTACCTCACGCATAGCCTTCCTCCAGATTTCCCTGGTCTCAGGACTGCCTTCCATGGCGCAGGGGTCAGGAGAAGTCGGGGTCCGGGTCAGGGATCGTGCACTGTGCAGAGCGGTCATGTCACTTTGGTCTTTAAGGGTAGAACAGTTCCCAGCATTTAAAAATATGTCTCATGACATTGACCTTGGAAAGAACTCAGGCCTGTTGTTTTACACAGTGTCCCTCGATTTGGATCCCTCCGGGCATTTCCTTAGGAAGAGGTTCAAGTGGAACATCAGCAGCGACGCCCCCTTGGCAGCCATGCAGCCCCAGTGGGTCGCACCGAGGTGGCGTGCACCACGGGGCTGCTCTCGGGATGTTTTTGGGGCCTCCTTCGGAAGCTGCCAGGAGGGCTAGTAGCCATTAGATGGCACTTGACTTTGGCTGGGAGAAGCCCTCGTCCCCGTCCAGCCGCAGAGCCCCTGGTCCACTCATTTGACGCAGGCACCCAGTAGAGAAAACCAGGAGCAGCTGTCCAGCTCCGGCCGGACTGGGGTGGGAGCCGTGGCCCTCGTTTTCCACGTGTGGCAGTTACAGGCCTCGCCCAGTGAGGAGCTCTCCCTACACAGCCCCCAGAGCCTGCTTGTCCCCTCAGGGTCCGGCTCTGCCCCCGGCCCCTGCCCCTCAGAGGCTGACACACAGCCCCCTTCTGCTCTCGACCTGATAGCCCGCCCACCTGCAGCAGCCAGAGAGTCTTCGACAGCATTTCCCACTTTCGTTCGGTTTAGCATTGGCCTCCCTGCCCCGTATTTTTATAAATTAATTTATTTTTTAAATTTATTTTGGAGAGAGAAAGAGAAATATCAATTTCTGTTCTACTTACTGATGTTGATTCTTGGATGTGCCCAGACTGGGGATCAAACCTGCAACCTGGGCGTATTGGAACGACCCTCTGTCCACCTAAGCTGCCCGGCCAGGGTTTGATCCCCCTTTTCTTTGTAACTTCTTTTCTTGCTGTTTGACCTTTTATTTATCCTGGGAGAGTTAGTGTGGACACAGTGTGGACGTTCAAGTGCCTGTCCCGTTCACACGTGGGTTCCAGACTTCCTCTCCCACAGCGGTCTGCCCCTGAGCCGGGGGGAGGTGGGGGGCCCCCCGCTGCCGGGGTGGAGTTGTCCCCGGCCCCCCCCTGAGGCTTCCAGGAGCCGTGGGGCGAGGGGAACGGCGTTCAGGCCTTTTGTTTTCCAATACGAAAGATTTCATTAAACCCGGTGTGCAGCGTCCCAGTCGCCCCCTCAGTCGCCAGTTGTTCCGGGCCACCAAAGACAGAAACTGGCCTTGACGCTGGGAGCGGGTGGACACACGGGGAAAGGACTGATGTTCGGAGGAAACCGCTGACCTGCTGGGGTGGCTGTGGGACACGACGCTTTTCTTTCGGGCCAGGGATTTGTTTTCTTTTTTTTTACATTTTCACCTGAGGACATTTTTTTCATTGCTTTTAGAGAGAGAGAGAAAGGGAGGGGGTGGAGAGAAGCATTGATGGGCTGCCTTCTCCTACATACCCTGACCAGGGATCGAACCCACAACCTGGGTAGGTGCCCTGACTGGGGATCGAACCCACGGCCTTTTGGTCCACAGGACGCGCTCCAAGCAACTGAGCCACACCGGCCAGGGCTGTCAGTGATTTCTTTTAAACCACTTTACTGAGGCGAGGTTGACATCAGAAAAGCTGCACAGAGTCACTGGCCACAACTTGATGAGTGTGGAGGAAAGGAATGGCCGGGCACACAGTGGCAGCCCCGGAGGGCAGGGCCTGGAGTCTGCCGTAAGGGTGGCGGTGCCGCTGCTGTTGGCACTTCTGGTGACAGGAGGGCATTTCCGGGGAGCCTGTGCCTTCAGAGCCGCACGGCGGAGGCAGCTCCCCGAGCCCTGCAGGACCTCCTGTGGCCCGGAGGGTGCAGAGACCCGCGGTCTCTATGCAGAAAGGCCGTAGGGATTATTCACTGTCAAGTACGCACTCGCGTGTACACACAGGGCAACACCCCGCCTTCAGGTTCTTAGAGATGCCTCAGCTTCGATTTGGGGGGGTTGGGGTACGCCAGAGGGGCGGGCGAGAGGCTGGCGTTTCCCAGACAGACGCGTCCCAGGGCATCGGGCCGGACCCGGGGTTGCCCACTGTGTATCTTGTCACTTGCGGGTCACAGCTGCTCCCTGCTGCTGGTCATCGTTTCCTAACAGGAGGGCGGGGGCGCGGGGGGTGGTTTAACACCCAGACAGTCGGCAGAGTCCCGGGGGCAATGGCCGGTGTCTCTGGAGACCCTCAGGAACCTTTGGGCGATGCGTGTCTCACCCTGCACGCCTCTGTCAGGCTGGGCCCCGGCCGGGCCTGTTGTGAGCGGAGGGTACACAGCCTCGGAGACAGGGGCCAGGTGCCACTCCCGCAGCCTTGTGGGTAAGAGCCAGTCCCCCCGGGGGCAGAACTGAGCCCACCGTGTACTTCGGACGAGTCCTGGGGAAATCACTTGTTTGGGGTTAAGCGCATTACTGTGTGAGGTAGTGAGCTCAGGTGAATGCCAGCACCTGTTTTCATCGGTGTCCTCTGCCCAGGCCACGGGACGTGCCAGTTCCTAGGGTCTTGGTTAGACACGGGTTCCAGGGGTGGGGCTGGCCTGGTCCCTACCAGCTGACAGGTCATTGACTGAACCCCCTGAAAGGGACACCCAGCGCAGGGATGAAGCCTGTCACAAGGGAAAGGGTGCAGTGTGGTGTAGTTTTGGTCCTAAAAAGTGTGGAATTTTATTTAAAATGACATGTAGGATGGACTTTCTTCAAGGCACAACAGAGTTCTAGGTAACTGTTGAGTTAAATATTCTGTGAGCCCTGCCTTGGCCAGACAGTCCTGTCGTCCGTCACTGGGGATGTGACACTGAGTATGGCAAGAGTGACAGCCCTCACAGAGGGGATGTCCTAGGGAGGGAGACGGGACCGGTGAGCAAAGGGGCAGATAATGTGAGTGGCAGGTGGTGAGTACCAGGGACTTGGGGGCCCATCTCCCCTCCGCCCACTCCCATCACGGGAGCTGGGACCCCTCCTGACTTGATGTGTCTTTGCAGATGACCTCATCCCACCGCTGGACTTGCTTGAAATGATTGTCACCTGGATTTTTGAGGACTCAAGGTTGATTCTCATCACTTTTTTAAATACTCCGATTGCGGCCAACCTCCCCATAGGATTTTTAGAGCTCACGCCGCTCACCGGGCTGATCCGCTGGTGTGTGAAGGCACCTCTGGCTTACAAGAGGAAGAAGAAGCCGTCCTTAGCCAATGGGCACATCGCCCCCAAAGCCTCCCCGGACTCGGCGGGGACGGACAGAGACTCGCACCTCTTGTACTCCAAACTGCACCTCAGCGTCCTGCAGGTGCTCATGGTGCTGCAGGTGCACCTCACCGAGAAGAACCTGTACGGGCGCCTGGGGCTGGTCCCGCTCGAACACATGGTCCCGCTGGTGGAGGACATCAGCAGGCTGGCGGACGAGCTGAACCCCCTCAACGCCTCCCAGGAGATCGAGCTCTCTCTGGACCGCCTCGCGCAGGCGCTGCAGGTGGCCATGGCCTCCGGCGCGCTGCTATGCACGAGAGGTGCGTGGCTTCCTGCCTGGCCTTCCCGGGGCTGGTAGCCGCACCAGCCTCTGCCCCGAAGGAGATGGGGGCTCCCGGACAAACACTGTCTCCTGCCTGTGCTGGGACTTTTCCTCCTGGTGAACCTGGGAGGTGCAGGGGGCGCACCGAGGCAGAGCCCCGTGACCATGGGCTCTCTATGTCTCCTGGCCATTGGTGCCCAGGACTGGGGACCCCCAGAGGAACAGCTTAATATCTGTGCCCTTAGGGGATCTCTTCTTTTTCTGCAGTCCTTTTTTTATTGAGACATAATTTACATGCAGTAAAATGCATAGGCTTAAATGCATAAAACATTCCCCTCGCCTGTTTTAAGCATGAACTTGAAGGGAAGGAGAATGGGCTCCTGCTCATGACACACCATTGTGTTTGCCCTTTAACTGTTGGCTCCCAGAGCTGCCTGTGGCTCTAAGCTGCGGTCGCTGCGGGTGGGTGTCCCTCTTATCTCTGCGCTTAATGCCTTGGGTGTCTGGCCCTGCCTTGGGGCCCTGCCCCAGCTTCCAACACATTTCCCATAGAGCCGCCCCTTTCCCAAGTGATGTATTCTTTCTGGGGCCTGGTTCGTGAAAGCAAATGTTAAAGATAATACAGCTTCCAGTGTCTGGCAGTGTTACTCTGTCATCAACACCCTTGGAAAGAATGTCCGTGACCATTTACCCTGTTTTTTCCGGTCCGTTCCTTAATTGTGTGTGTCCTTGATTTCAGATGACCTCAGGACCTTGTGCTCCAGGCTGCCCCACAATAAGTAAGTGCCTCTCGAGACTTCTGGTGGGGTGGGGGCTGGAGGTGCGGTGCAGGGCAGGGAGGACCCCCTGCCGTGGTCCGCCGCAGGGTCTAGAGATTCTGTGCATGTGGAGCCCCTCGGGGACTGGCGAGAAGTGGGGGACAACAGGATGGCGTCACTCACAGGGGAGGAAGGCCGAGTACAGACCAAGTCGGAGATGAGAAAGGTAGAAAGAACCGGAATCAGCTTCGAGGGTCACACTGCCAGTGCGCAGTGTCAGTGACACTGTGAGGTGCGCGGCCCTCAGGGAAACACTGCAGAGTCACAGCCCTGGCGCCCAGCGTGTCGCTCAGGCCAGCGCTTTGGCCCCAGGAGGCACTGAGCAGGCTCTGAGTGTGGTCTGTCTGTGCTTTGTTGTGGTACCACACCGGCTCCGGGCCTTGGCTGATCCCCCGTAAAATGGGGGCACTGGGTCGCCTGCCTCCTGGGGCTGTGGTGAGGATTACACAGGGAGCCCTTGTGCATTTCTGAGCCTAGCCTGCGGCAGGTGGGACCCCCGTGAGAGGTGGTGGTTGTCTGAGCAGGGTCGCCGTGGGAAGCAGGGGCCATGGTCGCTCTGCTCCTGGGAAGAAGCCCAGCTCCTTCCCATCTGGGGCCTTTGGCAGCTTCCTTATCCCCCATGCTGTCCTTCTGTCCATAAGACCCAGAAAATGGCAGCACCTGCCTCTGGCCCTCAGCATCCTCCCCACCGGCCACGGGAGGGTCGAGTGGGCGCTTGCTGTGCAGTCAGCACCAAGCAGTGTCCCTTACTCCGCGTTCCACGGGGAGGGGTTCTGTGTAACCCACTGAGGTTCACTGACTATAAGAAGTGAAGAAAAGCTCTGTACATGAAAAATATTTCATGCAAATGCAGGATTATGAGCAAAAACCTAGAAGCAAGCTAACGGCAGGGACACTGAGTTGGTAGTGTTACAGCTGGGACGTTGTATCCTCGCATTCGGAAGTGTTAGTCTGCGGTGACAATCAGCATGAAACATTGTATCGTCCAAAAGTGGTCATCGTGGCAACTGGCTGTGGAAATGGTGATAATGGAAGGCCCCGGGCTCCCTGCAGCACAGGCAGGGTTTAGGAAATGGAAGAGCCCAGGACTGTTGAGTGGCACTGGTCTGTAACAGGGCAGTAGAGCCCCGGGGCCCCAGGGCCGGCTGCGGCAGGCAGTGCGGGCGGAGGGAGAGCCAGGGCCTGCGAGACTGGGCAGGGGTGGCAGGCTGTTACAGGAATGCACACAGTCTGAGGCCAAAGGGTCAGCCAGATGCTACTTCATGGGCTGCCCGTGAGAGAGTTTGCAGCCAGGCCTCCCGAGTCCTCACGTGTGGCCGGGGGACTCTGAGTCCCTCTGTGTTGGGGAGGCTCCTGTCAGGTGTCTGGGGAGTCACAGAAACTGAGAGGGCGGAGCACAGCACAGCACGTCCCGGTGGAGCAAAGTGCCCTGCTTGGGGTTTTATCCGCGGCGGTGACAGCCTGTCCAGGGGCCGTCCCTCCCTCAGGAGTGCACCCTGGGCCTTTTTTCCAGCCCTAAGGAAGCTCCCTGGCATCTGAGGACATTGTGGATGGAGACGGGGCCTGTTACCCCTCTGCCGTAACCCCTTTGTAATATTTCCCTTCTCTGTGCAGAGCTTTCAAAACTGTCTGGTGTTTTCAGGGCATGAAAACACGATGGGGTATAAATCCTTCATCATCTCAGCGCCGTAACCAGTGATCCCCGGTGGGGCCCTCTGGAGCCCCTGCGCAGCCCCTGCCGGCCCTGTGCTCCTGGTGGCCTGGCCCTGCTGAGGGGCGAGAGGACAGTGACTGGGAACAGGCTTTGCTTTCTGGTTGTTTCTGTCGTGTTACTGCCTCTCCGACCAGGTTGGAGAGCCCCCTGGGCAGCCCTCTTGTGTCTCCAGCAGGGAGTGCGGGTCCACACAGACGTGGGACCTGGATTTTACCTCCATGATACGCCCTTAGGTTGCTTCCTCGTTTGCTTGTCGTGGTCGAATTTCTTGCCCAGTTGTAAACGAGCTACACAGATGAAAATGGGCTCAGAGCAGCTTCAGGCCACCCTGAAAGGCACGACTCTCTTCAGCCTCAGTTCACTGCCGTGGGGCCCCAGACTTTGCACTTTTGGGTGGGTGGGGTGAGGGTCAGTCTGCAAGTAGCAGGCCAGCAGTGGTCAGGGTCCACCCGAGGGCGAAGTGGCCTGCAAGGGAGGCCGTTGCTGGGGCCAGCAGGAACAAGGGAGCAACAGGTGGGCGATGGGTTTGAACAGGACCCGGCAGCTGGGAACTGGCAGTGAGAACTGGGTTTAGACACCGGGAACACAGCCCAGCTGGAGCCGAGCACAGGGCGATCCGAGGAGGGCAGAGAGCAGAGCCAGCAGGTCCGGGCTGGGAGCTGGAGGGAGGCAGGGCTGGGCAGGGGCCCTGTCCTGAAAGGGAGGGACTGACAGGTTTTCCAGTTGGGCTGCCTCGGGAGTCGGCGCTTTGAGGCTGACTGTAGGGTGGGGCTGAGCCTGGAAAGCTGGAGGTCAAGGAGCTCTGCCGGCCAAGCTGGGCAGGGGTAGTGGAGTCGGGAAGGATGGCACTATTCAGGAAACCCTTTGGGGGGTCTCAGAGGGACCAGCGCTGGAGATGACGTTGAATTCAGGAGGGCGGGGGATTCCGGCAGGTGGAGGGTACTGATGTCCCAGACCAGAGAGGGGGGTGCCCGCCAGGGAAGGTGCTCTGCCCCTCGCACTTGGGGGGTCACAGAGGTTGGAAGGGCGTTGTGGTGGGAAGACGGGTACAGAGACCCGGGTGTGTCAGAAGCAGGGCTGGGTGTGGGTGGGAGGGGATACCCCCAAGGTTCGGGAGCCGGTCACCTGTAGTGAAGGGGCGCGAGGACAGAGCACCTGAGGGTCTGAGGCTTCCCTGTGGGAGGGAAGAGGGTGAGCCCCTGAAGGTGGGTCAGGCTGGGTCCAGGCCTGTCCGGGGCTCTGGTTTCAGGGAGCCAGCTTTTGGGTGGTTTCCCTAAGAATTTGGTTAGGACTGTCACTGAGAGTGGCTTTGAGGAAACTGAGGCCCGCCTGCTTCCCGTGGGGCCTCAGCCTCGGCCCCCCTGTGTGTGGACATTCGAGGCCAAGGCAGGTGCCGGCCTGCGTCCACGCCCAGGTGTGGAGGCTGCTGTGGCCCCGGCCCCCGGCCCCCGGCCCTGCTGGCGCCCGCCTCCCCGGCACCTGTCGTTTCCTCGGGCCCCTCTCTCTGCACTGTCGCCTTCTTGCCTGTCACCTGCGGGACCCCGGCTTTCCCCACGCTGGCCCCTCCTCTCCTCTCTGCCCTGTCCCAGGCTGAATCTTGTTACCTCCTGCTCCTCCCAGACACACGCCACCCCCGTCCTCTCTGCTCTCAGTCTGCCCGTCTAGACACCTGGGTGTTCTGTTCCTGTGCCTGGTGCGTGGGAGGGCCCCACATGTGTGGACCGTCTGTCCTCTCTGCCCCGTGACGCCAGGCCCAGGGGACGGGCCAGCCCGATGCTGCGTGCCAGGTGACCGTCGTCTCTGCGATGCGCGTGCCAACCCTTCTCCTTGTGTCCGCAGCCTCCTGCAGCTGGTGATCTCGGGCCCCGTGCAGCAGTCACCACACGCGGCACTGCCCCCCGGGTTCTACCCGCACATCCACACACCCCCGCTGGGCTACGGGGCTGTGCCTGCCCACCCTGCCGCCCACCCTGCGCTGCCCACACACCCGGGGCACACCTTCCTCTCGGGCATGACGTTTCCATTCAGGCCCATCCGCTAGGCTGGCCCCACCCGCCACCGAGTGGCACCGTGCCTTCTGCGCCTGGGCGGAGGAAGCCTCCCGGAGAGGGGCCAGCCCACAGAAGAGGACCTTCGGGAGGCAGCGGGCGGCCCCTCCTCACCAGCAGGACCGTCTCGGGGCAGAAGTTCCGTGACCTCGCCAACCAGGTGCCGTCTACCTGGCTACGCTCGTGAGAGTCCATACTGGACAGACAGAGGGGAAGGGCCCAGCCCGGGCAGAGCGGTGCGGCACCTCTCGGCGGTGCCCGCCCTGTGAGCCCGGCCCCTTGAGAGTCATTCCAGGTGCCCTCGCTGAGCCTGTGCGGTCGGGGACGCGGGCGTGCGGAGCAGCGTTTGCACGTCCACATGCCTGGCTTCTTTCCTTGTGAGCAGGATGCGTCCTGCCAGGAACACGGGCCCCTCCGCTCCGAGGGCTCCGTGAGCTCCGAGCTGAACCGGTGCCCTCAGGCCACACCCAGCACTTGGCTGGCGTGGGTGCGGTGCCCGCCCCCGAGGAGAGGGGCGTCCGTTTCACTGGGATCGCTGCATTTTTCTTTCACGTGTTCCAATAAAATTTTTCTAAACAGTTGAGCAGATGTCGTGGAATGTATGTTAAGAACTAACTAGGTGTGAGCTGCAGTGGCTTCCTCCCCAGTCTGCCCTGACTGTGGCGAGACGATGGGGGACCCCTGTGGCCTCCCCTCCCGACAGGGCGTCCCTCTGCCGGCGCCTCAGTGTGCTTCAGGTCCCGTTCTTCGCCTTGGGGGCAGAACACAGCCCTCAGGGGATCCCCCCTGGTACCTGGTGGGAAGGATGTGCTCTGAGTTCTCACTGACCATCTGGCAGGAAAGAAAGGCATCAGTAACCGTGGGCTCCCCAGGCTGGATGTGGGGGGTGAGAGGTGGTCTCAGTGAGCCGTGAGCGGGCCACGGTCAACAGGCCACAGTTAACTCATGCTGATCGGTTGCTGGCTGGAGGCCAGTGGTTGATCGAGAAGATGGGACGGAACTGGACTCCATGTGTGTGTCTGCTCTAGGTCTGGAGTTTGAGGCATCCCTCCGGGTCAGGGTGCAGGCGCACCATGGGGCCCTTGGCTGACCAGGACCCGGGGCCTGGTTCTGGCTCAGCGCCACAGGGCGCCTAGCCAGGCTGCCGCCGCCACAGCCGGTGTGTAGGGAGGGGCAGGCCTGCAAGTGACACCCATCCAGAATCTCTTTAAATTCCTTTTGAGGACCATGAACGAGAAAGGACGTGTTCAGCTCTTCGAGCTGGGCCTCACTGTCCCTGTGCTTCCTGTTAGCGTGTGAAAACACCCGCACACGGTGAAATGCACCAACACCACATGGCCGGTTCCCGGCGCTCAACCCTGTGCCCAGGGTTTCCGGGAAGGACGGAGAAGCAGCTCCCGCGTTGCTTTGCCGGCAGAGAGGGTCTCTGAGCACCGCTCTGCCTCCGAAGGTGGCCTCCCACACACGTTTCCCGGGGGAAGTCGGGAAAGGAGACGGAGCAGGCAGAGCCACTGGGCACAGGCCTCCTTCCCTGGGGTTTGTAGCGGCACGTGAGCAGCGAAGCCAGCGCTCTACAGACATTGGACATTGGTCCAGGAGAGGCCCCGGCCAGTGGGCGCCGTTGGTCAGAGCAGCGTCTTGCCAGTGGGCCAAGGTTGCAGGTTTGACCTCCGGCCAGGGCACGTGCAAGGATCAACCGCTGAATGCATAAATAAGTGGAGCAACAAATCGCTGTGTCTCTCAAGTCAATAAATAAAAATAAATTTTGACGTTGATCCATGAGAAAACAGTTGCAACATATTAAAGTACATCTATACAGAAGGTGTAAAAACTACAGGTCAATCGAAACACATTGCAATACCAAAATAGGTGAAGGGCACGCACAGAAAATTCATAGAAGAGAAGCTACGAATGGCCAATAAGCATGAAACGATTCTGAAACTGGGGGCCAGGAAAATGGCAATTAACGTGAGACGCCATTTTCCCACCTGCCTGTCAGCCTGGGCGAATAGGAAATGCAGAGGTGCGTGGGGACGGGGTGGCCGTGTGGTGCGGTGAGTCCCTTGGGCGCACGGGAACTAGGAGAAGATATGCTGACTGTGACCCAGCAGGCAACCACAGGAGTGTCCTGCATTTCAAATACAGTCCCTTGGTGACGGCGGGTGGGGGGTGCAGGGGGGACAGGTTCCAGGACCCTAGCACGACACATGGGAATTTTCAGCTGCGCAGGGCCAATGGTAACAGTCTTACTGGGAGTCTCCGCACACCCATTCCCCCAAAGTGTGCAGCGCGGCCGTTTTCAGTGCATTTTGAGTTGTGCAACCTCACCCCATCTGCTTTAAAACGTTTCATCACCCAAAGAAGAAACCCACACTTGTTAACAGTCATCACCTGTCTCCTCCCAGCCGCTGGCAACTGCTAGTCTCCTCGTCTCTGCGGATTTGCCCTTTCTGGCTGTTTCATAGAAACAGGATCCCGCGGTACCCGGTCTTTGGTGTCTGGCTTCTTTCTCTGAGTACCGTGTGCTGTGCACTGACGTGTTCACAGTTCATCTGTGTTGTAGCACGTGGGTCAGGGCCTCACTACTTTTCATGGCCAAATGAGGGTCCATCGTGCGGGTGGGCCACACTTCGTTCGTCCATCCATTTGTAGCTGGACATTTAAACCTCTGTGATGAACGAGCTCATGCCCCGATTCTCATGGAGATACACACACATCTATGTGAAGACGCTGCGCAGTTTTTTTTTTTATATGGAAAATCCACACCCTGGCTCGTGTGGCTCTGCATTGAGCACCAGCCTGCGGACCAAAAGGCCACAGGTTCGAGTCTCGGTCAGGGCGCATGCTTGGGTTGCTGGCCAGATCCCCAGTTGGGCGCGTGGGAGAGACAACTGATCCCTGTATCTCTCACGCACTGGTGTTTCTCTTTCTCTCTTTCTCCCTCCCTTCCCCTCTCTCTAAAAAATAAAATAAAATCTTTTTTAAAATACAGAAAATCCAATAACAGCTTGAATAGCCATCAGTAGAGGGCCGGCCAATTACGCGTTATAAACTCGGCCGTCTCTAGGGACCACGCAGGTGAACGTCAATGGGTGAAGCTACCAGAGCTAGACACCAGGGGGCGCTGCGAACTCTGCTGAACTGAAGAGGACCTGAAGCTGACCCGGTGGATGCGCCAGGACCTCTGAGTGTTCAAGAGAAGATGGATATATGGATACATGCACACACATACATACATACATACATACATACATACATAACTTTGATTTGAGAGGGAGAGAAACATCGATTTGTTGTTCCGTTTATTCACCCATTCATTGGTCGATACTGGTATGTGCCCTGACCAGGGATCAAACCCACAACCTTGGTGTTATCGGGATGATGCTCGAACCAGCTGAGATACCCAGCCAGAGCAAAAACATATTTATCTGTGCTATTTTCTCTTTTTTTAAGGTTTTATTTTTATTTATTTTCAGAGAAAAGGGAAGGGAGGGAGAGAAACATCAATCGGTTGCCTCTCTCACACTCCCAACAGCCCCAACACCCCCCACTGGGGACCTGGCACACAACCCAGGCATGTGCCCCGGCTGGGAATCGAACCTGTGGCCTTTCGATTCACAGACCGGAGCTCAATCCACTGAGCCACACTAGACAGGGCTATTATGCTATATTTTCTTAACTTTGAAAGATCACATCTGGTCTTTAGAAGTCAGGAGGGTGGTGGAGAACAGGTAAGAACTAGAAGAGGTTTCTTTGGTGTCTGTGGAAATTCAGGTTGTGCACTGATGTGCACTTTTCCACGCGGCGCCACACGTTATACGAATGCCTTCCCCTTGTTCGAGGCTACACCCTCAGTTAAAGCCTGCCCACGGCTTGGGCTGACCATAGAGTGTTCATTGGCCAGACTGGACCTGTAGACTTCCTGTTTGGGTCCCTGAGACCCTGCAGAAGTAGGAGAAAACGTGTGTGGCATTACGGAGAGTGTGACGTCATGTGTGAAAGGAACAGACATGATGCTGCTACAACGCTCCTGCAGATGTGTGTGTGTGTGTACACACGTGTGAAAAACGGCACACACCACCCTGAACGCAGCAGGAGCCTCTGAGGACGGTGCTGGAGTGAGACAACCAGAGGAGACCTTGCCTGATCCATATGGTTTTATTAATTTTTTTAAATTTTAATTGTTGACTTCCGCCAAGATGGAGAAGTAGGTGGAGGATCCACCTCACCTCTGTGCACAACCAAATCTAAGAACAACTATTTTTAACAGCAGTCACAACCAAGCCACACGAAAAATCGACAATACGGAGTCCAAAGGACAACTAGATACTCGTCTGGACCAGTACGAGGAGCGAGGCCAGCAGCGGAGCAGGTTAGCAAGAAAAAATTCCCGGGGCGGTGCGCGGTGCGCGCAGGCAACCGAGGGCGCTGATCGCCAGCGAGCTGGCTGCCGGAGCGCACAGGGAAGAGGCGCGGTGGGTCGGTCGGTCGCGCGCATTTACGTGCGGAGAAACCAGTGAGAAGGGAAACCCGCGAGGTGCAGCAGGCTCGCAAAATTAGGATCGGATAAGCAAGCCCGAGCGTTTGAGTGACTGGATGTGCTGGGCTAGCGGAGAGGACCGCCATTGCTCCCTCTCTGACCCCGCCCCCACACACAGCGTCACAAACCAGCGACCTGGGTCACCCCGTCCTGGTAAACAACTAAGGCTTCGCTCCGCTCACTTAACAGCACGAATAGACCAAAAATGGCTCTAGGACAACTCAGAGCCCCAGAACCGATAGACCTAAGTGATGAAGAAATAGCCAGTCTTTCAGATGCACAGTTCAAAACACTGGTTATAAAGATCCTTACAGAACTGGTGGATTTTAGTCACAAATTAGAGAAACATATGGAAGCTAAATTAATTGAAATGAATGCTGATACAAAAGATACCAATAGTAATGGAAAGAAAATTGGGACTCAAATCAAGGGAGAGGACCAGACGGAAGAAAAAAATGATCAAACAGAAAGGAATGAAGAAATAAGAATTCAGAAAAATGAGGGAGAAGCTTAGGAACCTCCAGGACATCTTTAAACGTTCCAACATCCGAATTATAGGGGTACCAGAAGGGGGAAAGGCACAACCACCAGTTGAAAAATTATTTGAACAAATAATAAAGGAGAATTTCTGCAAGATGGCAAAGGAAATAGACTTCCGAGAAATCCAGGAAGCTCAGAGAGTCCCAAAGAAGTTGGACCCAAGAAGGAACACACCAAGGCACATCATCATTACATTAGCCAAGATTAAAATGAAGGAGAGAATCCTAGAAGCAGCAAGAGCTAAGGGGACAGTCACCTACAAAGGAGTTCCCATCAGACTGTCAGCTGATTTCTCAAAAGAGACCTTACAGGCAAGAAGGGGCTGGACAGAGGTATTCCAAGTCATGAAAACCAAAGATCTACAACCAAGATTGCTCTACCCAGCAAAACTTTCATTTAGAATGGAAGGACAGATAAAGTGCTTCTCAGATAAGACCAAATTCAAGGAGTTCATCATCACCAAGCCCTTATTATATGAAATGTTAAAGGGACTTACCTAAG